GTCCTTTAATAAAATGGTATTATCTTCCTTTGAGTCACATTTTTCTTGTTTAAATGATTCCTAACAATTATTTAGTTTTTGTTGCTAGGAAACATTAAAAACTTTTTTCTTTTTCTTTTCCTGGCTAGTTGTTTCTACTACTGGGAAAAGTTATTGATTTTTTAAAGAAATATTTCTCACTTTTCCAGTCAGTCCATCAGAATTCCTTCATGCCTCTGTACTTTAATCCCCAGTTGTGTTGAACAATTCTGATTCCCCACATCAAGCCTCTTGTGGCTTTGATCATTCTGGAAGGTCCTTCCCCTACATTACTGACTTATTCATACCACCCATGAAGTCCAGCCACTGCCCTGCTTTCTCTGGAAAGCCTTCCCTTGATACTCTTCTGTTGGCAGGGGGTCTTTATTTGTTTTTTTCTTGTAGCCTGTGTTCCCGCTTATGACCCTTCATCCTAGTTGTCTCTGTGTGTAGTTCACTCAGTGGACTCTGAACTCCGTAAAATCATGGGCCAGATCTTAAACAAATCAATATTCTCAGCAGCTAATACCATGTCTGGAACATGGCAAATTGTCAAAAAAAAAGTACGGGATTGAACGGCTCTGTTTGGGAACAGCTGTTAATGTCAAGCCCTAGGGACCTAAGTTTTCAAGCCTCTCTGGACATGTTGCTACATTATTTTTAATGTTCATAAATGTTGCAGATATAATTTCTTTCTTCTTTCCTTTTTTTGTTAATAGTATCAGCACAAACGACAACTATTTAACTTCTTTATGTTAAGTTCATTAAATGCATAGCTTACATAGTTGATTTAACAACTATTTGTTATGTGAAAATCAAGATTGGGAGTGAGGCTTTTGGGCCACCTATAGAAATCTTGATTCTTGGTGGTGAATGTAACTCAAGAATTCATTCATTTAGTAAACTCATATTTATTAAACACATATTGTCTTACCCTTTTCAGGCTACTCTAACAAAATATCATAAACTGGGTGGCTTATAAGCAATAAAAATGTATTTATTTTTTTTGAGACAGAGCCTCAAGCTATCCCCCTGGGTAGAGTACCGTGGCATCACAGCTCACAGCAACCTTAAACTCCTGGGCTCAAGTGAGTCTCCTGCCTCAGCCTCCAAAGTAGCTGGGAACACAGGCAACCACCACAATGCCCAGCTATTTTTTTTTTTTTTGGTTGCAGCTGTCATTGTTGTTTGGCCGGCCGGGCTAGATTTGAACCCGCCATCTTAGGTGTATGTGGCTGGAGCCTTAGCCACTTGAGCCACAGGCGCCGAGCCATAAAAATGTATTTGTTACAGTTCTGGAGGTGAAAAGTCCAAGATCAAGGCATAGGCAAATTCAGTGTCTTGGTAGGAAGGGGGACCTAGTTGCTGGTTCACAGATGGTCATCTGTTTTGCTGTGTCTTCACCTAGCAGAAGAGTTGAAGGAAATTCTTTATGTTTCTTTCAGAAAGAAACCAATCTCATTGATGAAGATTCTTCCCTCATGACCTAACTTGTTCATCCAAACTCCACCTTCTAATACTATCTACCTTGTGAGTTAGGATTTCAACATATAATTGGGGGGGGAGTACAAACATTTAGACAATAGCACATTTTATAGTGTAGCGCATTCTTGGCCAGATACTTTGCCGAGAACTGTGGATATTGTAATTCTCAAAATAAACAAGGTCTGTGCAAAGAAATTGCAAAATTCAACTATAGTAATATACTATTTAGACAAAGTATTCAGCTTGAAGAATGAGGGGGTACAGCCCCCTGTAAGGGCCAGACCAGCGCTATTTTGTTGTCTACTACATAAGCTCTGTTAAACCGCAGGGCCACTCCCTGCTGCTTCCCCCACCCCTGGTTGCACAGCCATTAAGCCGTTGAATTGAGTCACCTAAGGCAGACAGCTGCCATAATAGGCAATAAGTATCAGTTTCCTTGAACAGCTCCCATAATAGGCAATAGGTTTCTACTTCCTTGAAATTCAGGTATTCTCCTTCCTAATTAGGCTACACCACCTCTAGCCCCAGTTAAGAAATCCCCCACCCCTCACCTGTACCAATCCAAATCCTCCTTTACTAATGAAATCATCAACCACCAATGCAAATCCTCCTTTACTAATGAAATCATCAACCACCAATCAAGAGTGTACCCATATCAGACCCTACCCTTCTTGCTTTCTGTACCCCATAAAAACCCTCTCCACCCTAGGTTCGGGGCTCGTCCTCGGCTTGCATGCCAGGAGAGTCCGAGTCCGGGCCTGAATAAAACTCACCTCTTGCTTTTTACATCGGAGTGTGTCTCGGACTGTTTGTTGGGGCCACTTGAGAGAATTTTGGGCATAACACCCCCACGCTCAGACATGGCAGTTTGGTCTCATGTGCTCCCCGTGGAACATAGAACTAAGATGGAAATTCCCTTACTCTGAGAATATGCCTGGGCCCGCTGAAAAGGAGAAATGTTCTTAGAAAGGAATTTGCCAGAGGACCACACTGGATCGAAGCTGGGCTAAAACACCTGTCAAAGCATTGGGCTACTATACTTTGCTTCTTTCTCCTCATTAACATACTAATTACTTGTCTTAGGTTAAGGAAATGGGCTCACCAAACAGACAACCTGACACTTTTGTGATTTAATCCCAAGTAAAATATTCTTACTTTGTAGCAATTGTATATGTACTCAGCAGTAATTGTATTGTATTGGAATCTTTATGGCAGTTTCCATGATCTTACTTTGCTGTCTTAACTGTATTGATATTTTAAACTTTTATCTGATATTTTGGGGTATATAAAAAAATCAATAAAGATGAGTACTTGCAGGAGGCTGGAGCAAGCCTCAGCCTCCTTTTTCAAATTAATCATCTCATCGGGGTGCTTTTCTCTGCATCATCGACCAGTTAGCTCCGAGAACAGTAACAGAAGAATGTACTCTGAATCTTATTTGTGGCATTTGAGCAGTATATCCTTATTATATTTACTTCTATTTGGGGGATCCTCTTTCAGCTACTTTTCTACCAGAACTAGTACCAGGCTCTACCTCGGCATGGATTTAGAAAATGTCACATCTTCTTCTGGGTGAATTAAGCAAAAAATAAGTTATCATTTTTCTTCTTTTTGACTACTTTCTTTCCTTTTTTTCTATTAGAGACAGCTTCTCACTTTGCCTGGTAGAGTTCCATGGCATCATAGCTCACAACAACCTCAAACTCTTGGGCTTAAGTCATTCTTTTGCCTAAGCCTCCCAAGTAGCTGGGCCTATAGGTACCCACCCACAAGACCCCGCTATTTTTTACAGATGGTCACACTCTGGCTCAGGCTGATCTTGAACCTGTGAGCTCAGGCAATCCTCCTGTCTCAGCCTGCCAGAGTATGAGCCATTGTGCTTTGCCTCTTTTGTCTGCTTTCATTGACTGTTCAGGCACATGATGCATTTATAAAAAATCAATAACCAGAATTTTTAATTAAAGGAATTCTCCCTGCTACCCTTTTATCCCCACAAAGTGAACTATGGTAGGCTGAATGTTGCCCCTCATGGATATGCACATCTTAATTTCTGGAAACTATAAATTATTACCTTTTTTTTTTTTTTGCCAGAGTCTCAAGCTGTCCCCCTGGGTAGAGTGCCATGGCATCACAGCTCACAGCAACCTCCAACTCCTGGGCTCAAGTGAGTCTCCTGCCTCTGCCTCCCAAGTAGCTGGGACCACCACAGGCGCCCACCACAGTGCCCAGCTATTTTTTGGTTGCAGCTGTCATTGTTGTTTGGTGGGCCCAGGCTGGATTTGAACCTGCCACCTTAGGTGTATGTGGCTGGTGCCTTCGCCATTTAAGCCACAGGCGCTGAGCCTAAATATATTACTTTATATGAAAAAGGACACTTTACATTTGTGATTAGTTAAGGATTTTGAGATGGGCAGATCATCTTGGATTTGGTACATGGGCCTAATGTAATTACAAGGGCCCTTGTAAAAAGGAAGCAGACGAGTTGGAGTGAAAGAAAAATATTTGAATATGTTGTACTGCCAACTTTACAGACACACGAAGGTTGCTAAGAGTCAAGGAATTCAGATGTCCCCTACAAGCTGGATAAGGTAAAGAAATGGATTTCCCCTGGAGACTCTGGAGGGAACATAGCCCTGCCAACAGCTTGATTTTGGCCCAATGAAACCTTTTTTGAACTTCTGACCTCTAGTACTATAAGGATAAATATGTGTTGTTTTAAGACACTAAGGCTGTGGTAATTTATTACAGCAACAGTGGAAAACTACCACAGGGACCAAGTAGCCAAGCTAAGGTGTTAAATCAGCTAAGCCTACTCCAGTAGGCTCTTTTGGGAAGTATGGTAAGACTTACTAGGATGGGGGGACTTAACTAAGGAAGTTTGAAGCTGATAAAGCCAACAGGGCAGACGACCACCTTGTTTTATAAGGGGTAGGAGTCAACATAGGAAGATCCAGTAGCAACCACTGTCCCCAAATTAAGAATCATAAATCCAAGCGTCAAGAGCCAAGCAGAAACTAGATTAGGAAGGACACAGTTAAGAAACAGATAAGAAGGATATAGGATAGCTTCATAGGAAGTTGTTAGAGTAGCCACAATTCACATTTATTAGACTATGGGTACCATATGATTAAGGAAAATCTAGCTGACAATGGAACTCGTTAGCATTTATTGAGGACCTAATACCAGATAGTATATATATTTCATTTGTCCAATAACCCCATGAGAATTACTACCCTTGCTTTACTAATGCAGAAACCAATTCAAAGAGGTTAAGTAACTTGTTGAAGGTCACAGGAAATACTTGGGATGTGAATGAGAGGTTGACCCAATTTCCAATCTTAAGAGCTCTGCCCTTTCTTCCACACCATTACCGTAGGCTTGCTTTCAGGAAAAAGGCTTGTTGACTAAGTGGTTGTATGCACAGATCAAAGTAGAAAACCCAGTGACATCTTTTGAGATACTCATTCTATCAGTGAGAACTTGAAAACGAAGTTAAAAATTAATCCACAAAGCCAAACCCAGGCTTCCTGCTCTGAGAATATAGGATCAAACTTGTGCTGTCTGACTGCCACGTGGCTCTCTATTTATCCCTGTGAAACCTGGCAGAATTATTTAAAAGGAAAGAAGGGATGGAAACTCCCTCTTTCTTCAAGTCAGGATTATGGTCTAGGGCTTAAAATACTGGTTTAATGGTGAAGGTAAGTGCTGTTCTTCTTTTTGAATAGGTGGTAATTACTAATCTGTCAGAGGTCCATTAAAGGGAGGGAGCAGTTTTAAGGGAAATCAAAGAAAAAACACTGACAGAAGCCTAAAGATCTCCATCTGGGAATGTTTAGTTCCAAAACAAACTTTCTAAAAAAGGTAACTGATTCAATCAAAACCCTAGATCAAGACTTGAGAGGCTACTGGTGCCAATGGACACTGTGGATGATTGTCACTTCTCCAAGGACCATGTGAGTATTAATCATGATGCTTTAATGGATTGGACTGGCATTGACTGTGGAGTAAAATATTGGATCAGAATTGACCAGGTTTGGTTTTGGGATTGTGACTACCGAGCCTTTTCAGACTTCTTTCAGTATTTGGAATTGCTTCTCAGGAAAAGGAGAAGATGACTGAAGTTGCAAGTAAGATTGAAGGCAAGAAATTGTGTGGGCTTGTACAGATTACCTGACATGTTGCTGTTATTGCATAGCTAAGAAAAGGGACCCAGCGAGATTTTCGTTAGCAGCTGTGAATTCTATGATGGAATAGCAGAGGGAAAAAGACTCAGTGATGATACAATCTATCAACCTATCCAGAGAAAATCCCAATTCAGAGCACAATGGAGCACATACTGGCCTGAGTTGCTCGTTGGGGAGGAATGGTGCGGGAATTCCTGAACATCTGAAGAGTCGTGGACCCCCTGCAGGCTGTGCTCCAACTGCACCCTAGTTTTTGCTTAACACTGTCTTCTAGAATTGCCCACCATTGGTCCTTAATACACTTTTTCTTTTTTCATAACTAAGTACATAAATTAATTGGCAGCAGGATAGAAATGATATACTGGAACAACCAGTTTTATCTCAGAACTACAAGTTTCTCAAAAAGGTAGGCAGGTGATGAGAGGGGCCTCAGTTTTACTAACACAGAGGGAATTGCTGCTTACTCTGTTCTCTGACGTCTGTATGAAGATGCATCCCATCTCCATATATCTTGTGGATTCCAGGCCAAAAGAATCCTCTCTCAAAAAGAAAAGTTTAAAAACAATTTAACAATCAATCCAAAGCACTTTTATAGAAATATATTTTATTTGCTGTAAGCTTGTACTTACTAATAGACTGCCAATACTATGGCTGTTTATTACTGCCGTTATTATAAATAACATTATACAATGTATGAGACTTTACAATTTACAAGGCACGTCTTGTATCTTTGTTTTCATTCCAAATAGCCCTGTGAAGTAATATTACCCCCATATTTTTCTCATGAAACAATTAAGGCCCCGGAAGTTTATGAAACTTGTTCTGAATCTTATTTAGATTGGGATTGGCAGAATATCTAGTCCCTAGATACCCTCTCAACTGTAGGTTCATGCTCTTTGAACTACATTTAACATTTACTCTGAGTAAACTGTAGGAGACTTGGCTAACAGAAATGACGCAAGACAGGCTGGATATTAGGGGAAACCCAAGAGTAATGGAAAGACTATTATAACAAAATAATGAGTTCCAGACTAAAATGAATAGGGAAAAACTATGTTTTAGCTTATGCATAAACCATAATGCTTATATTATTGATTTTATCTCAGATATAACCTATCCTGTGTCATGCATTATTTTTTAATATAAGATTTTCCTTTCACTTAATTTCAATTCATTTTTAACTTAATTTTCTTTCTTTTTTTTTTTTTTTTTT